GGTCGGCCCTTCGCGTCCGCTGGAGCCCGGCAGTGGACTCTGACTGGCGCGCCCTGCAGCGTGGCGTGGAGCCCCAGCCCGGTGCACCTGCCTTACAGGCACCTCTTCATTTCATAGGTAGGTATTAAGCGCCTGCTGTGTGCCGGGAGCTTTTCTAGGAGTTAGTGGTCAAACACTGAGCAAACAACATTCCCTGCGCTTGTGGAGCTTACCTTTTAGTTGGGGGTCGGGGGGTAGACAATAAGGTAAATGAACACAATATTGGTCTGGTAGATTGTGATAGGTGCCCTGGGGAAGCATAAAGCGGGGCAGGGAGGACACGGGGTATCAGGAGAGGCCTTAAGGAGGTCGGGAGGCCTCATGGAGAAGTGACATGTGGGCCAGGAAGGAGGTGAGAGTGGGTGGCCACGCAGATGGCGGGGGACAACGGTGCAAAGGAGGGAATTCCGAGTACAAAGGCCCGAGGCAGGAGGGTGAGCCGCTGGCCGCAGTGGAGCTGGAAAGAGAAGTAGCTACAGGAGGCCAGAGACTGAGGCGGGACAGACAGTGTTAGGCCCGATAAGCCGAGCACGTTGTAGGAGGTGCGTCCAGGCACCGTGCTGAGAATGGACTGAAGGGAACACAGGGACAGGAAGGAAAGCCGCTGGGAGGCAATGGCCGTGATCCCAGAGAGAGGTGATGCATCTTGGATCAGGGTGTCCGCAGTGGAAGTGATGAGATGGGACTGCATTTTGAGGATCCTTCGAAGTTATAATTGGCTTTGGATTTGGATTGAGGTGGGGTCTGAGAGAGGAGTCCGGCATAACTCCCAAGGTTTTTGTGCTAAGGCTTGGGAAGATGGGGTTGCCATTAACTGAGAAGGGAAGACTGGGGGGAGAAAATTTGGGGCTGAAAATCAGGAAGAGTTGTTTTGGACATGTTGACACTGAGAAGTGAAGTTCTGGGGAAAGATCTGTGTGTAATATATGGTATTTAAAATCCCGAGACCAGATCAGATCTGGAAGAGAGTGAAAAAGTAGAAAGAAGTCCTTACACTGAATCCCGGGAGACTCCAATATAAACTCATGGAGATGAGGAGAAACCTCATAGGTAGAATGTCAGGAGATTTTTATTAAGAGAAGATTTGCCACTTTTCAACCTCACATCTTACCAGGTTCAAGAAGTTACATTGTGAAAGAATGAGATTTGTGTGTTGGGTTTAATGTTTGATATATTAGAATTATTTTTTTACCTTATTTGAAAAATAAATTTTGGCAAAGAGGAATTTTTTTAATATCCTCCTAACTCAGTAACAGTGTTTAATACTTACATATTGTTTAGTTACTTATAAGCACAACTGTGAGATCATTGTAAGTGATTATTACAAGTTAATAAGTAAAATGAGCCTCCTGTAACAGTTTAAAACATTAAGTGAACAAAATACAATCTTCTAAAAAAAACTTTCTAACAAATTATAGTTCCTAAGCTTAACATTAAGTCTGAAGGGTTTTTTGTCAGCAATCATTAGAATTATTAAAACAAACCTTTGAAGATTACAGAAAAGCTTTTTATCCTACTTTGTATATACACATAGGGAAAAAAACTGTGAAGAAGGTAAAAAATACAGATTCAACTTAAGTTTTATAATAAAAGACTAGATACTCATTAGTCTTTCTTTTCTATTTAAACAAAGGTAAAGCTAAGTGTTCTTCATTTTGAAAAGCACGCATGTCAACACTTCATGTTTTTAATATTTCTGCCATTGAACTTATGGCCTATGACTTCAACAATAATTTTAACAAAGCAGAATTAAAGATATTTGAAGTTTTTAATTATGCCCACATCACCAAACATCCAAGTACTATATAGTCCAATTCTCTTCACAGAAAGTGTGAAATGTATGGCTTTTATTTGGATCTTGATTTAAATAAATTATAAAAACTATGTATGAAACAGAAATTTGCATGCTGACTGTGTATTTAATTGTACTAAGGAATTATTTATTTTCTAGATGACAATATAACATCTAAAGATAATGTTTATAAGATGCTTATCTGATAGACATATTGAAATATTTATGGATGAAATGATATATCTGGGATTTGCTTTAGCATGATCCTGTGGGAGATTAAGGTAGTGATAAAGAGGAAACAACTGGCCATGTTTTGATAACTGTTGAAAATGAATGAAGGTTCCTATTATTATCTGTGCTTTCTTTTATGTGTTTTACTGTCTTCTCCATTTTTGTGGTGTATTTGTTTGAACTTTTCTATAATGAAAAGCTAAAAAAAAAGAAAACTTCTGTTTTTAAAAAGTAAAATAAAGTGAGATACAGGCCACAAATTGAGAGAAGATGTTTTCACAAAAATAATGCACAAGTGGTTAGTTTCTAGATTATATAAAGAACTCTCACAAATCAATTGGAGTAAAACAGTTATTCACAGAAAAAAGCACTAAAGTCATGAACAGGTATTTTGCAGAAAGAAGAAAAAGGATGGCTCATAAGCCTATGAAAAGATACTCAACCAAATTAATTATCAAATCTAAATAAGACCACAACAGGGTACCATGGTATTGGCAAAATACCAAGGGTTAGTCAGGATGCAGAATATGATCTCTCATACATGGTTGGAATGTAGGAATGTAAATTTGAAAATGTGATGTAATCTTCTGAAGTTGAATATTCACATCCCTTTAGACTAAGAAATTCCATATATACATTTTTCCCTACGGAGACTTGCATATGTGCACCAATAAATATGTAGCAGCACTGTTTGTTAAATAAAATAAGTAACTGCAAAAAGCAAATGAAACCTCAAATGTTCAGTGACAGGGAAACGTAAATAAATTGAATTATATTTACATAATTGGATGTTCTACAGCAAAGAAGAAAGTAATAAATTACAGTAATATGCAACTACATGGATAAACCTTTTAAAATTAAAATGTGAACATTAAGTAGACACTATGATGGTTTTTGAAGATGACCATCCTTGTACACTTGCCACCCAGATTTAAAAACAGAACATTACCTGTGTCTAGGAAGCCATCCTCATGCCCTCTCCCAGCCACTTACCCACTTTCTCCAAGGTAACCACATCCCAACTGCTAACACCATTAAGTATAATTTTGCTTGTTTTGAAAACTTACATTACTGATAGCATACAACATGAACTCTGTGTCTAGCTTCTTTTGTAAATGTTATGTTCATGAGATTAACCCATATTGCTGAGGGTAGCAGTATTCATTTTCATTGCTGAATAGCATTACATTGTATGTATATACTTATCCTTGCCAAAGTTGATAGACAATTAGATTGCTTCTAGTTTGAAATTATTATGAAGAATGCTACTAAGAGCATTCTTGTTCATTTATTTTGTATTTCCTTCTATCCAATATGGATGAATTTTTAAAACATAACTTTGGGGAATAAAGTCCCAGAAGACTAATACAGTATAATCCCACTTTTATAAAGCTCAATAATTCTCCAAGAAAAGCTGAATAAATTGTTTGTTGATATAGCCATATATGCAAAACTATTTTTTAATAGGCAAGGATGTGATAAACACAATTCAGGATAATGATGGTTTTGGGGAGGCAGAAGGATGGGATATGGAAGAAGCCCATAGTCCCCGAGTCTGGTGAAGCATTCACTGGTATTCTTGTATGTCATTATGCTTCAGAATATATATGCACATCCATTTCTATGTATAAAACATTATATCATAATTTTTAAGTAACAAAAAACCACATAATGTTGTAGGGCCAGCAAGAATTCTCATCCAGGGAAAAATTTTCCTCACAGGATACATTTTGATGACAAGCTTGTGGGCAGTCTTATTCAGTTTACCGGGTATATGATTACTTAAGTTTCCCTTTTTCTCACTCACAGCATTCAAAATGGGAAAGAATTCTCTTAAAAGATTCCACCCACTAGTTTGACTATATGTATCTCTTTTATGAAGATTAAGATTGTTGCATTGTGTTAAGTTGACTATATGTATCTCTTTTGTGAAGATTAAGATTGTTGCATTATGTTACATCGTGTTTAAATCGCCAGGACATGCAAAGATTAGGCCATATTTTGTGGGGAGGCAAGTACTACATGAAAATGAAGGTCATTTCTCAGAAAAATTACCTGGAGGAAGAGTCAGATCTTTAGACAGGAAACTAGAACTAAGATGACAAGCCCTAAGTGGGGGCTAAGGCTGGGTTCAGCATGCATCTTGGCCTGGATGTGACAGTTTGGATGTCTAAGATTGTATTTATGGGTAGAGTATAATCAGCTACTCTCAAACATACAGAGAGAGGCTGGGACTTGGAAGGATGGGTCCCTAAAAAAGGTCCTCATTGGGTGTGCACCCGCAATCACTTGAGATTTGAGAATCAGACAGATATTTTGAATTGGCATCACTGCTTCATTTATTAAAGGTGAATAAACTATATCAGGCTCTCAGGTAGTGGAAAATTGTTTTTTTGCTACCCTTTAGCAGAGTTCATATGAATATTCTGGCCCTGTTGTAATAAAACAGAAGGACTCTTTATCCACCCTTAGGCCAGAACATTAAGGACAGTAGGGTGGTGGTAGGTGGTGGGGAGTGGTATCAGTAATCAGTGAGGGAATCAGCAAAAGAAGGGTAGGCACGGGGGTGGGGATGAAGTAGCACACCTGGAGACTAACGTTGATTTCCTCTAGCATCAGGCTTAGAGGTCCTAGGTGGTGTTTTCATTCAGGTACGTAGCTGTGTTTCTGACACGGGACTCCCGGCTTCCCAGCTCTGGAGAACTCCACTGCCTCTCCATCACTCACGTTACTTGTACACTTATGTGGATGCATTGAGCACCTTGGACTGGTGCTTGAGCCATACACTTGTTCATTTTAAACTATTTTCATGCTGCTACTTCTGCTGCATTTAGCCTCTTTCCTCCCTGTTTCCTTGACTGGGAAAGAAATGAAACAGGTTTACTTTTAGTAGTGTTACTGAACCAAGTTTTGCCTGATTTGCAGCAAGCCAAATGATGAGGCCCCGAGGTTTGCATCAGAGAAAGAGTTTATTCATGAGGCCATCAAGTGAGGAGACTGGAGAACAAACCTCACATCCACTTCCGCAAAGGCGAGAGGCTCAGGATACTTGTGGGGTAAAGTTGAGGTGTGAGGAGTGTGGAGAGCTTGAGGAAAGGTAATTGGAGACAAGAAAAAGGTGAGGTAATCATTGTTGTACGACTAAGCTACAGGCTTCTTCATGGGACACCGAGAAAATGGGGACAATGTTCTGAGGGTGGAGTTTTTGGCCTTCTGACGTCAAAACGTCACCTCATAGACACTTGCACTGTCTTAACCGTCTTAACCAGCTCGAGCTTGAACTGGACACAGATGACTCCAAGTTCCTAATAAACAACTTGGGCAAACATCTTATTGTTTAGGCTGTGTGACACTCAGAGGATATGCAAGTTTTTGTAAAAACAAAGCAAGCTTAATCAGTCAAGGCAGGTCGCAGGTGAAATGGATCTAATTGATGATTACCTCTAGTTTCAGTAGACATCCCGGGAAAAGTTAAAAACTTGGCTAATACTCTTGCTAGTGACAGATAAATTAATCCACACTTCTCAGTATAGTTACAGTGTAATTACGATTTTTCCCAAGTACTTACATGCCATCTTCTATATCACATTTATATCTTTTTTCATTCAAAAACATTTACTGAGCATGTGCTGAGTACTAGGCACTATGCTAGGCTCTGGAGAAAAAGACGTGACTAAGCATTCCTGCCTTTGAGGAACTCTTGGTTCAGTGAGAAAGACAGACACACAGACAAATGATACAGTGAGTGTGTGAAAGCGATGACTGGTGAATAAAGGAGCAGAGAGGGCACCAGTGGGAGGGGAACAGTGTGGTCAGCACATGCCTCCTCCACAGTTGACTCCTAAGCTGAGTCATAAAGGGTCCCAAGTCCTTGGCCAGGAGAAAGGAGGTAAGGAGAGTCCTCTGACAGAGGACAGGGCTTGAGCAAGGGTATGGGAGTGAGGAAAGAATGCTATGTTGGAGATCTAAAGACAGCTCATTGCTTCTAGGCTGTAAGGTTGAGGGCGAAATGACAAAGGATGAAGCTAGAAAGAGGCAGAGAAATTAAAATAAGGAAGTCTTGTTGAATAATAATGATGATAATAGCACTAGCTGAAATCTGTTGATTGCTTTTTATGTGCCAGACCTTGTGCTAAGCATTTTATAAGCAGTGGCTTACAAGAGATAAATAATTAGGTCATAGTTATATTGTGATAAGTTACTAAACCAGGGATAGGATCCAGGTTAGTGGCACCAAAATTTGTTTTTAGTTATTTGGAATTGGGACTGAAATCTGAAACAGTCTTGACATAGGATTATAGAGGTAGCCAGGCACTCAAAAGACTCATTGCTCTGTCAGAGTCATGGGGAGATTCAGCAGTCCTGAGAACTGTTAAGGAAACAGTATACAGAATCTGGTTTACTACTTTTAAAGTGTTTAGGAAAGTTATAACCTAAATGCATATATTTGAAAAGAGGAAAAGTCTCAATTCAGTAATCTAAATTCCTACATCAAGAAACTAGGAAAAAACCAACTAAACCCAAAGCAAGCAGAAGGACTCAATATAGAGCAGAAACCAAGGACATTTAAATAATAGAGAAAAGACAAAAAGTTGGCACTTTGAAAAGATCAATAAAACTGACAAACCTTTAGCAATGCTGACAACAACAACAATAAAAAGAGAGGAGTCACAAGTTACTACTATCAGGATTAAACAGAATATATCAGAACAAGCCTTGCAGATGTCAAAAGGATAATAAGGAACTACCGTGAACAACTCTACACATACAGATTTGACAATTTAGATGAAATGGACCAATTCCCAGAAAAATACAAACTACCACAACTCACCCAGTATGAAACAGATTTGAATAGTCCTATAACTGTTATGGAAATTAAATTCATAGTTAAAAAATTCCTGAAAAATAAATCTGCCAGTCCATATGATTTCGCTGGAGAATTCTACCAAACTTTTAAAGAAGAATAACAGCAATTCTACACATTTTCTTCCAAAAAAAAAGAGGAAAAGGGAATACTTCACAACTAATTCTGTGGAGCCAATATTACTCTGATACCCAAACCAGACAACTAAAATGCATAAAAAGAAAAATACATACCAGCATCTCTTATAGATACAAAATCTCTTAACAAAATGTAATTCAGCAATATGTAAAAAGAATTAAAAGTCATAAGCAAGTAGGGTTTATTCTAGAGCTGCAAGGCTGGTGCAGTATTTGAAAATCAATGTATTCCATCATATGAAAAGGCTAAAGACTGTTTGGAAAGTTTGGGAAATGTCCTCTTCTCCATGGGCTTGCATTCCTATGGAGGAGGTGAGCAGGGGGATAGAAAACTAATTCAGCAGCATCTAGTGTGAAGAACAGTGCCTAGTTTCTGGGAGGATGACCTACAGGTGTAACCTGTTGTGGAGTTCATTTTGGAATTAACTACCATTGCTGAAAAAGGCCTTAAAAATATCCGATGACTTTAATATGCTGGAATAGCTCCCTTCCCCCGCCTTGTTTTTTTTTCCCTCTAACATTTGTAAATCTTCCCATTGGTGCCCAGCTGGAGAGGTACTGTTGCAGGCTATTCCAAGAGCTATCAGTCATTTAGGATTTACCTTAGTGATAAAAGACAAAGGAGACAATACAAGTACTTGCTTAGTCAGGAGTCAACAGCAAAGTACGTCAGAGCGAAAGATGTCCTAAGTACTTGGGGACGTTTTTTGCTTTCATAGAACAAATAATTTGCCTAGATTTGTTTCTCCGGTGACAACGGGGTCGTTCTGGGCGGGAGGGGAATGGGTCAGGCAGTTAGAGAGCACTGCTCTGAGCAGCACACTTGTTTGCCGAGGCCAAGTGAGGACACTGAGTCTTTTAACGTCCAGGAGGCTCGTTTACGTGTCCTGTCACGCTAACAGGTCACCCTAACACCCGCAATGGAACGACTTTGTTACACATTAACGTCCAGGTTGGGCTGATCTGACCTGATTGGGAAATCGCGGCGATTTTGATGTGCGGCCGCGGCCCTGCACAGAGTGGACTCTGCGCCGGCCCCCTCGGACCCTCGCGACCCGGCCCCCGGGGCCTGGCCAGTCGGGTCCGCGCACACCGGACTCCTCCCCCGCGCCACCGCCTTCTGCGCAAACGCAACGGGAGCCCCGCCCTCCGCGCGCTCCGACCGCCGTGATTGTGAAGAATACCTTCTGCAGCCAATCAACACCCGCGGGCTGGGCGGGGCGCGTTGGAGTTGGTGGAGGGTGTCGGTCGAGGGCGGGTCCCGTGAGTGACGTGAGTTCTAACCAATCATCGGAGGTCATGCTTCGGCCCCACCCTCCCCATCGTGTCGGCCCCCCTGGCCAGGCTCAGGGCCCCGGTCGCGGGGAATGTCCCGGGCGGAGTTCGCTGAGAAGCTCGCTCTCCTCTACCCGGCTCCACTGCTGTCTCCAGGGCTTGAGGCTCGCCGCTTTCCGAAATGGCCGAGCAGCCGGACAAACCCGTGAAGTACTATACCCTGGAAGAGATCCAGAAGCACAACCACAGCAAGAGCACCTGGCTGATCCTGCACCACAAGGTGTATGATTTGACCAAATTTTTGGAGGAGGTGAGTTGGTGAGGCAGGATGCCGCCCGAGGTTTGGGGATTTCCTGCCGAGACTTTTCGTTCTCTGAGTGGCGGGATTGACCTGCGATGCTTTTTGTGCTCACCTGACTCTGCCCAACTGGCAACACTTCCCCTGTCTGCATACCTGCATGTGCGCCCCAGTCTGCACACTTGTGTGTGCACACCTGGGAGCGCCCCCTAAATCTGAACACCTAAGTCTGAGTACCCGCGTGTGCACACCTAAGAGCGCGCTCCGCGTCTGTGTGCCCCCAGAGGCTGCACACCTGTGTGTACGCACCTAGGGGGCGACTGGAGATGCATAGGCCAGCGCCCCGGCTGGGTGAGCCGTTTTAGCAGCCCTTGTAGGGCAGGAAATGCCCCCCGAGACCCTGCGCGGGCGTGTAGGGAAGTCCCACTTAGCACTTAGTGGGAAACAACATCGCCTTTGGAGCTGCCTTCCGGAGGGGCGCAGCTACGAAGGATTTTGAAAATCCCTTTTATCGTTGAGTTTGCTTAGGACAATGATTGTCCCATTTGTTATTCCTGGAGCCGGTTGGAGCCCACCCACCCCGATAGTCAGGGGACCCTGAGCTCAGAGGTCCAGGAGTGGTCCGCACCCGCTCTTCTGGGCCTCCACATGCCCACCCCACCATCCACCCACTTGCCCGCTGTTCACCTAGAAGGCGCCCAATAATTGTTAACTTACCCAGTGATGATTTCAGTGAGGTACAGTGCTGGATTCCTGCGAATGAGTGTGGCTGTTGTTTGTGGCTTTGATTAAGAAGGAAGGGAGAGGGACAGACAGAGACATAAAGACTGACATTGGGGCTTGATCCTTAAGTAACTTTGGAAATTGTAAAATAATTTTGCTTAACTTAGAGGAGCTTTCTTTTGATAAGATTCTTTGCATTGGATTAAAGTTTTTTTTGCAGTAAATTCTAAGGGGCTATTCTCTTTGCTACCGCTGGATGTGTTTTATTGTTGTGGGGGGGTATGAATCATAAATCTCAGTGTGACACTCTCCTTCATCCCCCCAGACAATAAATGGAATGTTTAGTGATGAAAAATCTTTACATAGTTTGTGAGGAAAATGAAGATAGAGGCCAGGTCTGAGCTGGATCACAATGTATATCGAAGAGCATTTTCTTTGCAGAGAATATTAAGAAAAGTTTTTAAGGTTGAAGATGATGTTTTTTAGTAAGATATTTTACTATTAAATTGTCATTTGGTGATGTGCCAGTAGCTAAAACAGTGTCCCAAACTAGTGAAAAGTGGTTTGTGGTAGGGGATCAGATCTGCTCTGTCCTGTCCCTTTTGCTGAGCTACAGAGCTCATTTGCTATTAGAGTTTCTTCAACCAATAATCCTGTGTGGTAACATCAGGTCTAATTGACCCCAAATGTCTACTTGGGACTTTTCCCCCTTCCTGTGCTATATGTAATTGTGGGATTTTAAGACCTGGTGTGTGCTTTCTTTGTGTCTATAAAAAAAAAAAGCACTTACAAAAAATTGATAGGATATTTTATATTATGAAGTATTTGTCATTTTTTTCTTTTTCTGTGGGTTCTGTCCTGTTCACTGTGTTGTACAGGGAACCTCCTTGGCCTCCCCTACCAGATGTCAGTATCGTCCACTTCCCCAGTTGCGACAACCAAAAATGTCCCCCTATTGTGAAATATCCCCTTGGGGACCCAAAAAAAATCACTCCTAGTCAATAATCACTGCCTTAAGATATATCTTGAATAACTTTTATGGCTATATTTCTCAGGAGGAGATAAGGAAGAAAAGATTTTTAACATTTCATTCTTATGAGGCAGAAAAGGGACCTGCACAGTTTTCTAAGCAAAACTGAAAGAGATGCAAGCCAGCTGTTTAGTGGGTGAATTGGCGAACAACAAATTCCTTTATTTCTTAGTTTTCAATACTCTCTCTTTGAAGGTAGCTTGGGGAGAATGCCTCTCAAGTAAATGTGATGAAATGCATTTCTCCCTAAAACTTGGTAACTAATACTTGTAGTGAGGTAACTAAAAACTACTCTGTAGTGAGATAAATAAAAACAGTTTTACAGCAGTTCCTATGTACTTTACTTTTCTCAGTTGGTACTTAGTAAAGTGCTCCCTAGAATAGCCTACCCCGTGACACCACTGCTCTCTGATATTCATGCTCTTCGCTTTGATCAGTTGACCCAGTACCTGCTGAGTTCTTACAGTGGGGACTGTGGAACCCGAGAGGAAGAGATACCATTTCTGTTCTCAGAAGCTTCCATTTGAGGAAGCAGGAATAACACAGAGAACAATGATGTGGACAGGAATTATAACCCAGAAAGCTGTGCTGTACTGGCTGTAGTCTAGTTCAGCAGTGGGAAGTAGACCTGGAGTGGCTGTGTGAGGTGTCAGGCATCGGCCCAGGTAAGTAGGGCCTAAAATCAACGGTGACGGACCGGCTTCTAGGGCAGATCTGGATTAAGGCAGAAGAGGACAGTGGCTGACACTGTGAAACTGAACCCATCAAAGTGATGGAGGTACACAGTGAGGAGGAGGCCTGCCAGCCTGTTCTGGCTGGTCATTGGGGTGCCAGCTTTCCCAGAACATCCAGTCTATTTTGGGGGGGACCTATGTTCCATTTGTGTTTTCACTCTTTTGTTTTCTCTTTCTGAGACCATTTCTGTTTAATGCAGTGTCTTCGTCTTTGGCTTCCTGCTGCCAGCCCAGCCTTCCTGGGATTCCCTGCCAGCTGCTTCGTGCATCTTAAACACACATCCCATTCAGAGATCTGCAGCATGCTCTGCCAGAATGTTTTTCTTCTTCCTGGATGCCTCCTGTTCCATTACTTTATTAGGCCAGTACTGTTTATCTCATACCTTCTTTTGAAACAGAGAAAGGAGCTCAGCTCTGTCTCTCCCCACCTGCCCTACCCTCTTTCTTCTGTCATTTAAAAGCCCTGGAAATTTGTGTATCCTTTGCATGGTAACTAAGGAATATTCCACTTTCCCTAACTTACCCAAACATAAAAGGAGTTTCTTGGGTTTTGTTGTTGTTGATGTTTTGGTTTTTGCTTTCCTACCTCTAAAGTGAATGCTCAGTCATTATGGGCTAGATCTCATACATCATAGATTTATATGCATGTCTGTATTCGTGTTGAGAAAGTACATACTGTGATGGATGGAAGGGGGTCTCGGTCTGTGCCTACACTCATATGCTTTATTTAACATAAAATGAGAGGGTGATAATAGTGCCAACTTCGAGGGATTAAGATAAAAATTAAGCAAAATAATACTGGTTAAACGTATAACACACAGGCACAGGCAAATGCAAACTCCTATACCAGTATAGGTTAGGGTTGGTTGTGGCTTGCTTTCTGTACCATCGTATGTAACTGAGTGCTGATATGGGATTTTAGGTAAAGATGTAAACTGGCAGGTGATGTTGAAACAGGAGAATATTATAAAAATTATATTCTTCTGGTCAAGAACATAGGTGAAGTTTCTAAGTTGTTCAGTAAGCTCTGTCCCCTGATGTAATAGCCTTATAGAGCTGTTTTGTTTTCTAGAGGAGCGTAGACACCTGACAAGAAGGACTGGCTCCTTACTGCTGGCAATTTAAATAGCAGCAGGTGTTTAGATACTAACTTGTACAGACCTTTGAGATTATGAACTTGTTGCCTCCTTACTTTGAAGTAGGTATTTATTCAATTGTGACTTCTAGTTTCTGAATTTATATTTGTGAAGTTGAGTCTTGTCATTTCTGCTTATATTATTAGGAAAATTAATGATTATAGAATTTTGAATGAAAATGTAGGCATTTAGGGCCAGGAAAGAATCGTTTGCTTTTCCCCTTCTGTGATTTGGCCAGTAGCATTTATTCAGTTTTCACAAGTGCTGTGGAGTATATAGAAGAAAGTATCACATAATTGATGGCAGCAATATTAACTTTTTTTCAGTTCAATTCATTAACATTTAGTTTGTGAAGAAAAATATTATAAAGCATAATGCCTTTGTGTCAAGTTGCCCTCCTCCTTTACACGATCAAAATGGTAACTTGTTTCTATAGAATATTTTCTGGTGATCCTGGGATTCTGATAGTCTGTACCTGCATCTTAGATGTTCTTTAATAGCATTGTGCCTTACAAAACTGTTGGCTCCTGACTCACTTTTGCTTTTGAAATCTTAGGCAGTGTTCTTTATAGCGGGTTTTGTTGTAGGGGCTAATTTTTTGTTGTTGTTTTCCTTGAACATGGCTGCCTACTTTGCAGAGACCAGTGGTTCCAAGCCTGGGGGACCTCAGTGCTCTGGGATCCAGGAATTCATTGTACTTAGTTGCGAAAACACAGAGGACACTATATCTTTACTCTTGATATGGAGGACATATTTAGCGTTGAGATCCTAAATGCCTTTGCTTTTTTCAAGGAAGTTTGAAAATATTCTGAATTTTATGCTAGTAAAAAGCTGCAGTTGCAAATATGTTTTTGATGAGTATAAAAGGGGTAAGTTACTATTATTTAACATATGTAGTTTGGTGAAGAAAACTCAGAAAATGTGAAATCCATAGGAGGAAAATATAAAGGAACCCTTGGTAAAGGTGGTTCAGGCATCTTGGGTAAATAGGCGTCAGGGCCATTCTCACTAGGCCACATGGAGAATGGGAGCCTGTGGGCAGGGCCTCATTTATACATTGTCACTTTTATGTGTGTGGTAACTTTTTGCTACTTTTGAGAAGAGGTTCCAAGAGTCCAAGAGTGATTGTGAGGCTACTTTGTTTTGAAACAGTTAAAAAAAAAATTAACCACTGTACATTGTTGACTTTCGCCTTTTATTTATCTTTAAGGTGGATAGAAATTCTAGCTAAGGAAGAGAGAACAGATTATTCAGGCCTGTTTGGCTAAATCAAGGAATAAGTCACATTCATTTCTACTTAATGCAGATATCTATCATTCTTTTTTAAAAGCCCTCCAAAACCATAGAAATATTGCCTGGGAGTAATGAAACTAGATCTAGTCCTAAAGC